AAAAAAAAAAAAAAAAAAAATGCCTCCTTCCACCTAAGATTCATTATACACACATAGATATATCACCCTGTGTACATGACACACTATAAAGACCAAACAAATTAAATAACAAATCACTACCACTTATTGAGTGTTTATTCTGTGCCAGGCAGTGCTCTACACACTTCACATTTATGAGACAGGTCATATCATTCCCTCAATTTCACAGGCACGGGGAGGTTAACTAACGTGTCCAAAGCCACCTATTTTTTTTTTTTTTCCCTCCACTGTATTTTGAAATAGTAAGCCTTTTTTTTTTCTCCTTTTGAGACAGAATCTCACTCTGTCACCCAGGCTGGAGTGCAACGATGCGATCTTGGCTCATCACTGCAATCTCTGCCTCCCAAGCAATTCTTCCGCCTCAGCCTCTGGAGTAGCTGGGATTACAGGTGCCCGCCACGATGCCCAGCTCATTTTTTTGTATTTTTTAGTAAAGACAGGGTTTCACTATGTTTGGCCAGGATTATCTCAAACTCCTGACCTCATGATCCACCCGCCTTGGCTTCCCAAAGTGCTGGGATTACAGGCGTGAGCCGCTGTGCCCGGCCGTAGTCAGCTGTTACTGTCACTGACCAGATGACTTACTTCCTCTCTGGGGATTATCTCAGTTTTGTCATCTTCCAAATGAGGATGTTTGTTGACTAAGTGCCCCAACTTCCAAAGAATGCTGTGAAGATGTTCAGTTCCTTATCTGAGAGTGTCAGGTACCCCAGCCTCACCAGGGCCTAGAACAGGGGACAGTGCAAAATGAGGGGTGTTTGGGTCCTCAGAAGACGCAGCAAACGGGCTCAAGTTCGCTGCTGGCTCACTTGTCCATTTACCTCGAATGCCTTGACAGCCACCCTCTGCCAGGGCCTGGGCATACCACTGGGGATGCCCTCCAGAGTGCATGGCCCATCCCCAAAGACTCACTCCCTTCTCCTTGGCCAACAGGAGAGGCTTCCACAGCCAGGACCTGCCCCCAGGAGCCTCTCAGGGGTGAGTACTTGGGGCAAGGGGTGGAGAATAAGAGGCTGGGACCAGGACTTTGGGCCTGGGGGTTGGGGGATTCAGCTCTGGCCTAACGGGTCCTACACTGGGGGTCAGTGGGTATCCCATGTAGAGGCTGTCATGCTAGGTTGGGGCACTGGCTGGCTGGGTCTCAGTCTACGAGAGGATAAGATAGAGGTAAATCGGCTGGGCATGGTGGCTCATGCCTGTAATCACAGCACTTTGGGAGGCCGAGGTGGGTGGATCACTTGAGGTCAGGAGTTCGAGACCAGCCTGGCCAACATGGTGAAACTCCATCTTTTTTTTTTTTTTTTTTGAGACGGAGTTTCACTCACGTTACCCAGGCTGGAGTGCAATGGCGCGATCTCGGCTCACCGCAACCTCCGCCTCCTGGGTTCAGGCAATTCTCCTGCCTCAGCCTCCTGAGTAGCTGGGATTACAGGCACGCACCACCATGCCCAGCTAATTTTTTGTATTTTTAGTAGAGACGGGGTTTCACCATGTTGACCAGGATGGTCTCGATCTCTTGACCTCGTGATCCACCCGCCTCGGCCTCCCAAAGTGATGGGATTACAGGCTTGAGCCACCGCGCCCGGCCGAAACCCCATCTTTAAAAAAAAAAAAAGAAGAAGAAGAAGAAGAAAAAAAAAATGATAGGGGTAAATCATCTGACCCCAGCCTAATTCCTGGACATTAGTTGAGAAGCACAGGTGACAGCTAACAGAGGAGTCTTTGGAATTCTCCTTGGACAGCCCAGGCAGGGGATCTCAGCTGTGTAAATGGGAGGCTGTCTGGGGTGATGGAAGGAGCACTGGACGGGCAGTCATGAAGTTGGGCTGTGGTCCAACTCTGCTCCATGACCAAATAGAGAAATCTGAGGCCAGGCATGGTGGCTCACGCCTGTAATCCCAGCACCCAAGGCAGGCGGATCACGAGGTCAAGAGATCGAGACCAGCTGGGCCAACATGGGGAAACTCCATCTCTACTAAAAATAGAAAAATTAGCTGGGCGTGGTGTCGCGCCTGTAGTCCCAGCTACTTGGGAGGCTGAGGTATAGGAAAATCACTTGAACCCGAGACGCGGAGGTTGCAGTGAGCCCAGTGAGCTGAGATCGTGCCACTGCACTCCAGCTGGGTGACAGAGTGAGACTCCATCTCGAAAAAAAAGAAAGAAAGAAAGAATTTGAGCTAGTTACTCTCTGCATCAGATGCTAATTCCTGCCTGGCCCCCACTCCCACCTCCATGATTGTTGGGGAATAAAATAAAATGAAGGCTAGTAAGGTATTTATTATTACCAGTAAGAACGGAGGTTAGACACCGGGAAGGACTTGCCCTGGAGGAGGGCGTGAAGAGGACAGGCAAGGGCAGGGGACAAGGCCCTCTCCTCCGTGGACGTTCTCTCCTGGGGTGGGGTGGCGGGATCCTCCGAACTCCTGAGCAGCTCTTCCTCGCAGGGATGCCTGGCCGAGCGCTGCGGCTGGGGGCGCTGCGGCTGCTGCTCTTCAAGCTGCTGCTGTTTGACCTGCTCCTGACCTGCAGCCGCCTACGCCGCCCCACGGGCCCGCCGCCTTCCCCCACAGCTGCCACCCGCCTGCGAGCCCTTGGCTTCCACCGACTCCACCTGGCCACGGAGACAGGGGGACAAGAAGCCACCAGCTCACCCAGGCCCTTACCTTGGGACCGCCGCTGGGGTGACACCCCTCCGGGCTGGGAACCCGGGAGCCCAATCTGGGAGGAGGGGTCTTACCCCACCAGTTACCCCACCTGCCCAGCACGGGCCTGGTGCTCATGATCTGCCCTCAGGACTCCTTCCTCGGGTCTTGGAGCATTTTTTGCATCTGACCAGCCTCCTCCTCTGTAGGCTGGAGCTAGGGGCAGGGGTCTGCCACGCCTTCAAACTGTGTGAAGCTGTGTCTCTCCCATTGGACAGGGGGCCCCTCGAGAGTGATGATCCACCCAGTTACAGGGGCTTTTGGGGTGTGGATGATTGAGAACATTAAAGAAGAACTTAAATGACACAGCAGATGAAAAATGTTTGAATTCATGTCTATCCTGGAGGAGGGAATTTGGCAGGGTTAGAGGTAGGAGAAATCCAGGAAAGCTCCCAAGGAAGAGGGCTTCCTGAGAGAGAACTTGGGAACTGCAAAGTGGGGCTGGCAGTTGGGAAGGCAGCTGTCCCCTCAACTATCTCCACCCTCCACAGCCAGGCACTGGGCAAGGCCCCCTCTTCTCTTTACCCAGGCCCAACCTCTGTGAGAGGTCAGGGCAGAGAGCCCAGGAACCCAGGAAGGTGGGTGCTGGGCTTGATGTGAACTCTTGTACAGACTTGACAGAGGTGAACAGGGCCAGGGTTTCTGGGGAACAGGATCGTTTTTGATGCCAAGAGTATGAGATGGTAATTCCAAACTTACAGGCTAATAAATTAAGAGTTATTATTCATTTGACAAATATTCTTTGAGCATCAACCCTGGGCCAGGTACTAAAGTGGTCTGGCTTTGTTGGTGTGGTTGTTTCCTAAAGAAGATTCTTGCATTGACGGAGTGTGAGGCTTCCACAGTAGAGTATAACTTATGTGTCCCCTGCTTGCTCAGCGCTGGCAGGAATTCCAGCCTTTCCCAAGGGTTCTCTAATAGTAGTCATCCCAAGAGACTCTGGGTGCGCTCATGCTAATCCACCTGTCCCTTGGGCCCCATAGGGTAGTCTGCAGGATCAACCTTAGTCTTCTTTCTCCCAGGGTGGGGATGGAGAACTATGTCACAGCACCTCCCAACACATGGTTTCAAGGACATCCTCAGTTTCCCTGAGCCTCTGTGCTCTCTCACCTACTGTTCCATTAAAACCCTCACTGCCAGGCCTGGTGCAGTGGCTCATGCCTGTAATCTCAGCACTTTGGGAGGCCGAGGTGGGCAGATCATGAGGTCAGGA